ACATTTGATAAGCTAAGCCTTGTTTTTATCTGTGAGTTGCAGACTTTAAGCGTTTGAATCCTCTTCATTTTGTTCCGGTGTTGGTTGATGGTGACGTAGTGGTTTCAGACTCCTACGCAAGATTACTGGTTAGTGTAATTTGTTGGAAACTGAATTATTTCGTTCATGTGATCTGCAGCCAAGTTACCATAGACCTGAAGGCCTTTCATTAGGTTCTACTTCATATTTGACCATCATTGTATAGTTTGTGAAGGTTTTACTTATGTCTCTTTTGTTTTGTTATCTGAGTACAATGTCTTCTTGTGATTCTCAATTAGTATCTGGAGGACAAGTATCCACAGAGACTGTTGTTGCCTGCTGACCCTCGGCTAAAAGCTCTTAATCTCCAGGTAAGTTGGTCCTAAATGTGAAGTCCTTATCAAATTTAAAGAATTTGGTATAAAAAAAAGTTTCTCAACTAAAAATTGACTAGCAAACAAGTCTCTCATGGGGTAAAAAGCCCCTATCTTTAAAAACAAAAAATTCTGGTTTGCATGTCCTTTTTTCTTTTCTTCAATTAAAGCATTTCACAGGCTGATGTAAATCACTTTTTTTATTCTGGTAATGGGAAAGGTGAAGCCTCTATAGAAGTTAAGATTGAATTCTTCATGGACTTAGTTTTCTTTGCTGAGTTGCCAATTAGTGAATATTGTCACAGGCTGCAAGCGTTATCAACTCTAATATACAGCCTCTTCACATGTTGTCGGTGCTGGTATATTCTGTTTCTTTGTTTTGCATATATAAAATGGAATTTGGTTTTACATTCGTACCTATGTAATCATCCTTGATTTTGTATTTACATATACTCTATTATCATTTGTTTGTGTAGCAACATCTTGAGGAAAATGTTGGTCCTGAAGAGTCACTATCATTTGCTAAGTTGAATATAGAAAAAGGCTTACTCGGTGAGTGATTATCTGCATGCACATGTTATTTCCTTTACTTATAAATTCTCTGCATGTACTACTTATTTGGAGAAGCTTTCACCATGAAGTGGAGTTTGGTCGTATGTCGTAGCCTTGTTGTGTAACATATTCTGCTTTCTAAATGTGCTTCTCTACTGGTTTTGCATGAGAAGGATTATTCTCATTGTTTATTTGAAGTTTTCTTACACATGCATAACAAAAGTGCACTCTAATACAGAAGTGAGGGAAAAGAAGAGATAGTTCCGATTTTATGTCATCCGTGCTATGCATGCTTTCAGATGAAGTGACCTGCATATTTTAGCTACCTTGATGATCTTAGAGTAAGGTAAGATTTAATAGTAAGGATGCCAGTGCACCTCTTTATATCAGGCAATGCAGTTGTTGGATCTGGATAGATAAGAAGTTTTTTAGCAGCAATGATCCATTTGAAGCCCCATTTGATAATAGTCGTGCACTGATTTATGATAGCAACGGCTATCAACAGCCACTTGCAGATTGACAATTCACCTATTATTGTCTTCTATGTGCAAGTATGACTGCAAATTACTGAGAGAGATCAAATGAACAAATAATTTGATATGCAAAATCACTTGGCGATTGACTTATTAGTTGCAGCTTGTGTGGGAGCAGACCAGGGTGCATTTATGTCTGGTAGTATTAAATAACTCTGTTTTTTAGCTTGTATTAAAGCTTTTATATATAAAAGTATATGTATATTAACATGCATGATGTGAAACTACTCGAGAGTGCTACTAGTTGATGCTTACATTTTCTATTTGTTTATTTCTCATCTGTAGCTCTTGAGATGTTGCTGAAGGACTTTGCTAGCAGATATGCCACAGGAGATGAAGTGTATATGGTCTCTCTTCTGAATGCTCTGTGCTTCTTTGTTACAATTCTTTAACTGCAATCCTATCTTAATTCCTTTTATTTAAACCAATGTGAACTGACAACAATTTTCTAACCCAACTTAGTGGCGGATGACATAAATGGTGACAATAAGATATCTCCATGACTCTTGGATGTCTGTGCATTAATTGAAGTTTTAGAAGCTATATAAGATTTTTTTTCCCGCCGCTTGAGCTGTTTCTGACTAATTAAAGGGTTTTAATTGCAGGCAGATGTGTTCTTAGCTCCACAGATTGTTGTATCTACTTCGAGGTTTAACATTAACATGGTAAACTCTTGTCCGCTTCTGTGTTCTTTGCTTTCGTAAATTTTATTTTGTTTGCTGTTTATCTGTGTGTTCTGTGAAAATATTATCAAACAACTTTAGGCGCAACTCTCAACTGTTTCTATAGTTATTCCCCCCTCCCTTCCTCTAATAGACTGGTCCGGTTATATGTGAATGTCTTAATTGTGCAGAAACACAGGGTTAGGTATTGATTTTCTCACATAATTTTCTTTGGTATCAGCTGGCATTTTACTTATTTGGGTCCTTATATATTTGCTACATTCTGCCTTGCACAAGTAAATGACAATATGGCATGAACTAAGGAAACAGAATACAGATGCAAGGTGACTTTGGTTTTTCCTTTTTTTCTTTATTTTTTGTGCAGTCCAAATTCCCCACTTTAAATAGGCTGTATGAATCCTACAAGATTTTACCGGAGTTTGAAGCTTCGTCACCAGAAAGGCAACCTGATGCTGTGCATTAAGTCTGGAATTTTCCGCCATATTCCTCAAAGCAGTTTTGTATTTGCCACTATCTCTCTACTGGAATGAGTGATCACATGTAAATAAGATCAAATTTGAAAACGTTGATCACTGGTGTAACAATGTCATGTCGATTGTGTCCAGTTCTTTGTAAGAGAAACATCACTCGAATTCTATGTGTAATATAATGTGTTGGTATTGAATAAAAATCATGCAGCCAAACAATTTCTATTTCCAAAATCAAACATGTAATTACAGCTGATCTTTGGTATCTAAATCTGGTAACTTAGCCGAGTACAAGAACAAGTCTGGATACCGAGTTCAATTACTGCTATTAGTTGCATCTAAACTAATCATATGTTGTGCTATTTCTCTCACAAGTGAGTTGAATTTTTATTATTTGCATTTGTAACATGCACAAAGTGCTTGAATTGAAGCCGTATACTTGAGTCAACAATTACATATGTGAGTACTGGTTCTTCGATTGACCTTATTGAATATTGTAAATAGAATCGTGGTTCATAATTTATATATGGTAACGTTAATCGCTTAATTAGTACAACTATTGCATTGCATGTGTTGTCATAGGCGACTCTGCTTATTGGGGGTTGTTTAAAAGTGTCTATGTTTTTTCGTTTCAGGGTTGTTCTTGTCCATCTTTTTTGGTGAAGCCTTATATAACAGTAGAGATATGTACAATATAATGTATTGGTATGAAAATAAATCACGTACGAATGTAATCAAACAATTTCTTCATTGTATATTTCATAAAACAAAGTGCACAAAATACAAGTCATGTAAAATGTTGATAATCTGTCTTTAAATCTTGTACTGCAGCTTGTCACCCTTGCAAAGAGGGTCTGCCAGCCTTGTTGAGATCCAAATTGCACGAGTGCGCTTCTGGATACGTTTGCTTTCCGCAAAAAGCTCCACCACAATGGCATTCAAACCCCAACACTCCAACCTCTCCGTTGCAGCTTTCACATCTGTTTTTCTTTGATCCACTATTATTATCATTAGTATTAGAAACTGAATCATTTTGATATGAAAGCAAGGAAATTCCTCTAGCGATGGAACCCTGATCAGTTTTTTCCACTGATGATGCCACCAAGGTCGACTGAGCATTGAGATTCTGTTGTTTGGTCGAGAGGC